ATGACCTTATACAGATATCCTGATTAAAAAATTATGTGAAAAAGTACGAATTCTGGAATAAACAACTAAGTTGTAAAAAAAATACATAACACTAACGATGTCAAATCACGTACTGATCACGTGACAATGCTTTGCCCACACCCGCAATGCGCCTTTGCCAGGGAAGGAGACCAATTCACACCTAATACAATGACCGTTTCTAGACCGGGGATAGAGGGACTGTGTTGTAATATATTCATTGATAGTAATTACTGGTTAGTGTTGCATCTGTACAGCAACTTGTCATTCTATTGAAATAAACAATACAGCCACATGGCTATCCTCTTGTGTATTTGTGTGTACCTCAGTTCTGTTTTACACAAATGCATTGAATTCATTGCCCTCGATGTGATCAATGTACTGTAAAGTGCTGTGAAATACTTTCTTTTCGCTTGGAATTAATTTTCACTGAAGGAATGATTCAGTGAAAATAAAATCCAGCGAATATACCCTTTTTTCCCATATTTTATATTAAACTTATCAAAATTCCATACAAAACAACCAAAATGCCATTTCAGCGAAAATTATATCCAGCTAAAATAAAGTATTCTACAGTACTTTATTTTCACTGAAAGGATTCAGCAAAAATAAAATTCAGTGAAAATACCATTTTTCCTATATTTTACATTCAGCTCATTGAAAATAAACTTGCATACATAACAGCCAATATCTTTTCAGCGAAAATTAATTGCAGCTAAAGTAAAGAATTTTATAAGTGTACGCATCAAACATGAAATGACAAAAGTTAACTTCAAGTTATTTATAGTTATTTATATAAAACGATTACTAATCATTGCCATATATTTACCAGTTATTTGATAGGACTTGCAAACAATATGACAAGCTGCGGAAACGCGAGGCTTTCTTGGATGGATTTCGTAAAGAAGCCATATTTAAAGATAATCTAGATGAGTTGGATGATTCTCGTGAAGTGGTACAACAGTTGATTGATGAATATGTTGCGGCCACTAAACCGGATTACATCTCTTGGGGCCAGCCGCCAGAATAATCAAACCCGATACCTACTCAATTATTATATTGTTTGTGTCGCCTTTCTTTTCATCAGATGAGATATACAGATGTTATAAAATTTCTTCAACTTGCATGTAAATATCACTTTTATTCGAAGTATCTTCTGTACTTCTTTCAGTTTACACATGGATGTTTGATTTACCAAATGTTACTTTTAAAGTCGCATGTTCATTTCTTTTATACTGCAATATAAATGTACCTTTACATATTTTCCTGAAGGTGACATTCTTGTGTAGAGTGGTATATTTAATCCTGTGAAACCATTCAGTTTAGATATTACTGTAAAATCTGTATTAGAAGCTGCGACTTCTTTTAAAATGGTACAATGCAACAGAGGCAATGTGGCTTCTACGCATAAAAGAAACGATTAAATTTTGGTTCAAGCTTGCTCAGAAAGACTGGGTGTGGCTTCTAATATGGATGAAGCTTGTAATGAGTTTATGATGTACTACTGCCTTTTCAATAAAATATGTAAATATTGGATATTTATTCTGCTTACTGAAATTTTCTTTTCAATGCGAGGTTATGCGTAAAAACAGGATAGACAATGGACATAAGCGTTGTAATGAGATTCAACAAAAGTGAAATTATTTACAAGCATAATGTGCTACCATTTGATTAAGTAATGGTAATATTCTCATCTGAAAGATTAGCTTAAACCAAATCATTTGATACGTTTCAGTGAATGAGAAAAGTCACTCATTTCCTCTGATATGGATGCCCAGCAGTTATTAATCCCTGTTTGGACCTTTATGTATCTTAGACATGCCTGGACCGATTACATTCAAACTTTACACATATGCACTTCAAAATAGCTGAATGGTGGCCATTTTTGTGCTAAAAATCATCACAATAAAAAATGGATTGATTTTGTTTGTACATACATTGGACATTATGAGACCTTTATGCACATTTTATTTTTTTAGATCTAATTTAAAATGGCTCCCTGGTGGCCATTTTGTTTTAATGAATGCAGTTCTAGTGCCATATCCCTGCCATAATTTGACTGAATATCTTGTCATAGATATACAAAGATATTAGTTATGATTGACACCAGTTTTTAAGCTGAAAAGTCATCTAAATCGAGCATTTCTGGCATTCTGGAACCGGGTCTTGTTCAAACTTGGTACACAAGACATTATGGGTCACTGATACAAGTCATTTTATTTTTCAAATTTGATTCAAAATGACCATTTTGTTTTAATGAATGTGTTTCTAGAGCCGTATCTCATATGACTGATCATGATTAAATTTTATATATTCATTATGACAGATATATTGGTTTGGCAATCTAATTCAAAATGGCCAAATGGCAGCCATTTTTGTACTAAAAAATCCCCAAAATCAAGCATTTCTGGCATTCCAGAACTGGATCTTGGTGTTTATGGATGGATTATCGGTTTCTGGTGCAGGTCATTTTATTTTTTAGATCGGTTTGAAAATGGCTGATAGATATAGATGTATTCAAAATGGACGACTGGTGGCAGTTTTGTTTTAACAATACTGCTTCCAGAGCAATATTTCTCAATATGGTAAGGTACTCGTTTGATGATCAGATAAAAAATCTTCTGGATCCATACTTCTGACATGTTTATGTTCCAACTATATACTGTAAAATGACTAATTTTCACTGGATTTCAATTTCACTGATTTCAGGCATATTCAGTGGGTTTTAAATTCACAGTTTTATCATTTAGATGTGTTCTGGGTTTTAATTTAGCGCATTTTCCAGTCAGCGAAATAAGCAAAATTTAAACCCAGTGAATAATTAACCCCTTTACAGTATTTTAAATTTGATAACTGGGACTGTGTCATGCATGGCTTGTTTATTACATGTTGATGAGGAGGGTTACAACTGCTATACATACGCATATGGCTGACGAATAAGCAACAGATTCAATAAGAGAAAAATCAACACAAAATCTTTATTGTAAAGACATTTCATAGTCTTTAATTTGTAAATTGCAATTTAAAGGAATCAGATGATACTGCCTGGCAGAACACTAGTCTCATGGTGGTGTATCAGAGAATTAGTAAGTACAATGGTAGTTGTCATATTGAGAAGACATCTTGAAATTGATATCAACATTTTCAAGTAAAATTATGGCTAATATATGAACTTTATTACCAGTGCCGGGAAAAACTGTTTTATGGCCAGCATATTGTGGACTCGCATTTCCCCAAAAATGGCAATGAGGGCACTGTATTCACCCTAGAATTAATTCAATATTTGCAAAACTGAAAAATCTTTTAGCCTCATTTCAGTTGTTACCTCAAATCAAGAAGAGTAGTTACAAGTAGCCTTCTCCCTATTTTACCTTTAAAAATTCACTCAAAATCACTGTTGTACAGGATTTCTAGTATGCAAAAAAAAACACACGAAAACTAGAACTAAATTTGAATAAATAAATAAATACAGGAAAAATGTTACATTTGTTACTAGTAATCAAAAAGCAGTAGTTTGTCTCAAAAGTTTTGGGGTAGCAAACTTGCTCACTAATTTGCCAATCATTTTGGTTTTAACCAAAGTAGATAAGCTGAATATTACCTTTCCTCAAATGCTGATACTTGTGGCTTCTAATTACAGATTTTACAGTACTGCAGTGGTATGGATGCGACAAAAATCCCTAATGTTGAACAAGCAGTCTCTCGGCCGAGATAGCTCCGCTGTTAGCAATGCACATTTCAATTAAAGAACAGAAGATATTATTAGAAAATGAACAATATGCATAGTATCAATGCAATGGGACTTGCTGTTTTCAACAAGAATTCAAAAATATCATTTTCACCATAAATGATTGTGGTTTTTAACAAGAAGAAAATATAATTATTTACCAAAAATATTCACCAAAATTAGATAATTAAAGATATCATTACAAAATGAACAAATCTGAGAGAGGTCCACATGTAGTACCTATATATGTAATAATATCAAAGCAATTGGACTTGTCATTTTTAACAAGAAGTCGAAAATATCAGTTTTTACCAAAAATGACAAAAACATTCACCAAAATTAGAGAATTAAAGATATCATTACAAAATGAACAAATCTGAGAGAGGTTCACATTGTAGTACCTATATATGTAATATCAAAGCAATTGGACCTGCGGTTTTTAACAAGAAGTCGAAAATATCACTTTTTACCAAAAATGACAAAAATATTCACCAAAATTAGAGAATTGACGATATCATTACAAAATGAACAATTTGAGAGTGGTCCACATGTAGTACCTATATATGTAATATCAAAGCAATTGGACTTGCGGTTTTTAACAAGAAGTTGAAAATATCACTTTTTACCAAAAATGACAAATATTCACCAAAATTAGGGAATTAAAGATATCATTACAAAATGAACAAATCTGAGAGAGGTCCACATGTAGTACCTATATATGTAATATCAAAGCAATTGGACTTGCGGTTTTTAACAAGAAGTCGAAAATATCACTTTTTACCAAAAATGACAAAAATATTCACCAAAATTAGAGAATTGAAGATATGATCATGAAATGAACAAATCTGAGAGAGGTCTACCCAAGGTACATATACACCAAGTATCAAAGCATTCAGGCTTGTAGTTTTCAAGAAGAAGTTGAAAAAGTAAAACATTGACACGGACAATCACTCATATGATAAGCTCCGCTCGACAAAGTCAACAGCGGAGCTAAGAACTAGTGGTTTTACATATCAAAGCCTCTTGTTAATTGCGTAAAAACAAAAAAAAAATAAAACATTTTCAGGGTTAAAAATAATAAATATTTCAGCATTTTAATTCACAAAATCTGTATTGTGCATATACAACAACCGGGGATGGAACAGCTGGACTGTTCATTTAACATATTTTTGATTTTACATTTCTGAAAAGTCAAAGTTCCCTCCACATATGACGTGCCACTGATGCAGGGATTTGCAACTAGTTATGCTAATTCACTAAAACTGACACAACAACAACAAATTGTATAATGATATAGTGATCTTAAAAAAATATCTTACTATAGTTTCAGAAAAACGAAAGAAATGATTATTCACAACATTTTTGTTTGTGCATCAGGTCACCATCCCATCAGTGAATTACATGCATACCCAGACTACAGCGTACATTCAATTGGCATGTTCTGTCCTCGGTTGTAATGTATTAACACTGGATGGATTTATTGCACTCTTAGTGAAATACAGTATTCTTTCAAAGTTGTTTGCTTTACAAAATGCATCATCTCAACTAGAAAATTTAAATACAAAAAGAAATAAAACAGTTCTCAGATTTGATCTGTTACTGGTAGAATAGTGTTTGCTGCTTCAGACTCCTGATTTGGTAGACCCAAGTTCAAATACTACCTTAGGATGAACAGCAAAAAGACCCCTACCCTGGGTGAGTGTGACACCGACTCAATGGGAAGGCAAATTTCACTGGCCGAGATTCATTCCCTAAAGGAATGCGACTTTGTGTCAGCACTATCACCTGCAATTTGCACATGAAAAAAAAAAAAAACAACGAGAGAGACAACAGATTGCAACTTACTACCTCTGATTATTAAACTAGATATATACATAATGACTTACATATTGAGATATACTGTCTCTCTAATGAAGTACTAGTGCATTTCCTGATTGTAATACTTTGTCTGAGCATACTAGGTACTAGATCTGTGTGATTCTACCTAGGTTCAGAGTAGTCTATATTCTTGGGGTGGAGCTACGTCACAAAATGTTCTATGTTGCTAAGACATGCACCACTGTACCATATTTTTCTATGGGATCTGCAAAAGCTGCTTTGGAACACCGGTCACAGAATGGGTGAAAACAACTAAACTTGACTGAAATTTCTGAACGAGCAATGTTGCACAAGTAGATGTAATCTTGTTACACTGTTCAGGAGAGTCTCAACAACTCGGCCAAAGTACAGTTATTTGGACTGTTATTTTCACAGGTTGCAGTTGTCAGGCAGAGAAAATGTCTGGATGTTCGCTCCCGAGAATACATTTACCACAGATGATAATGGGGTATTTGTTTCTGCAGCTCCAAAATTTTATATTTTCTTGCAATGAACGAAAATGTCTTGAATACATGTACACTTCTGTAATTGATCTCGGGTGAACTTGTCATGTGCTCCAATGTCAATTGACCATACTTAGCAATTTTGTCAAGGTGAGAACATAGAGTTGTAGTAGAAAGCATTAATTTTAAAGCTACTGATGATATCGTTGGATTCAATTATGTCTTTAAAATGAGATAACTAAGTAGCAAATCACACCAAATGTTCAATGAAACTAACTGCATGCGTTCAAGGCCAGTAATACATGATAAGTCTATTAATTTAACAACATATTTAGCATTTTTAACGATTTAAAAGATTGTATCGAAAACAACATGATTTATACAAGTAAATTATAAACACACTCCAAAGTGTGCAATTATCTATTATAAGAAATGCTCAGATGGTTATCAGTTTTGCACTATGGAAGAAAACTTGTAACTCTGTGATATGTTGGGGGTGACTGAGGCTGTTGCAACACTATTTACTTCAGGGAGTGCATGTTCATCATCTTGGTTCAGAGTCTTCACTTTGACTACAATGTTGCAAAAGGACAATAAACTATTACAGAAGGATATGAATAGTTAAGACATTTTCATTTGAAGTTTTCGGTATCGGATTGCTAATTCTCTCTTACAGAACATTGTATAATGTCAGGCTACAATTATGGTCCCAAGATTATGGCTGAGAAAGTTCAATTGTGACTCATTTACATATAATTCGGTTATTGGAGTAGGTTTAATAAACTTTTTTACATTTCAATCATTTCCCACTGTTGATCTGCGACTTCATTGCATATTGCCAAATGTAATCGTACATCGTCCTTTGCATGGACTAAACACTGTCCTGTTGCCGGGTGATACAGATGATTCCTACCCTGCAAAGTAAAACAATAAAACAACATTATAGAAATAGTTTTCCCACTGAGCTGTTACTCATATTTGGCATGTCTTGACCAAAACAATCACAGAAGACTAAAGTTCAACAACATCAATTATAATATACCATTGTCCATATGGACATAAAAAAATGATCGTTTCTGCAGTGTGAAGAACTCAAATCAGTGTGCAATCAACATTTCATATCTCTGTACTCCAAATTATCATTGCATTTGCAGAAAAAAATGAAAAAGTTTGAAAACACAGTGACTTACCACTTCATTTAATCTCCAGTTCTGTGATCCACCCGACCCATGACATTTCATTAATCGAGGAAATGCTTTACTATCTGTCTCAGGTGTGTCTAAACATAATGAATCTTTTAATAAAAATTCATGGCTTGTGGATTGAGACCAAATCTGAAAGAATAAAAAATTAAAGAAAGTTTAGAAAGAACTCCCTTGTACTGAGACTGTTGGAGACAAGTCTGTGCAATGTCACAGACCATCAATGTACCAGGTTGCAATATCCATGGAAAAGCTGGAAAATTATGAATTATTATGCAAATTAGGTAATTAATATGCACAGATTTTAGACAGAACTAATTAGGTCTGAGCATAGTTCTAGAGCATATATGTACAAGGTTTCATTGAAATGTAATGAGTATTACCGGTACTTGACATATCAGCAGAAAAGCCAAACATTTACTAATTAGGGAAATAAGGTAATTAATATGCATGGATATTAATTCAATATCAGGTCTGTGCATTGTCCTAGAGCATCTATGCACCAAGTTTCATTGTAATGTGATGATTAGTACTTGTGATATATCAGTGGAAAAGCCAAAAATTGACTAATCATTATGCAAATTAGGTATTTAGTAAGCACAAGGTTTTTACTCAAAAATAATCAGGTTTGCACATTGTCCCATTGTTCTATGCACCAAGTTTCTTCAAAATCCAATTAGTGGTTCTTTAGATATCAGTGAAACATTCATGGAACAGCTAAAAATTAGCTAATTATCATGCAAATTAGGTAATTAATATACTACTCTTTGTAATCTTGAAAGCTATACTCTAAATATAGTATTTTATCATCACAAAACCATTTAACTATGACCAAACATGACACATACTTTTGACAATTGTTTGAATTTACTAGCTTGCCCTAACATTAAGCAGATCTCTAAAAGCTGCTGCTATCATTATGTAAAAATGTTGTTGTGTGTAAATGAAGTACAGCTTTGATATATGCTTGGGAAAGGCATAATATTACATGAGACTGTCAGTTTTCATATCATACTTGTCTGACTTGGTGCTCCTTCTGAACTAAGTGCCCACCCACAATGTGTAGACCATGCTCGGGTGACTCCCCCCCCCCAAAAAAAAACATGATTTTGTGATACATTATTCATGAGATAGAGACAATTGAACTCACCATTTGTTTGTCCTTATCTGAGCAATCATGAAGTACAACTAAAGTACCTTTTTGAGTAAAATCATTTTCTGAAGTCAAGCAGAGTCCTGTAAGCAGATGTACAATCTAAGGAAAGCAGAAAGATATGTCACATCATTCATTTAATATAATTTCTATTGTCACTAATATAATTTCTATTGTCACTAATAGAACTTCTATTGTCACTAATATAATTTCTATTGTCACTAATATGATTTCTATTGTCACTAATATGATTTCCATTGTCACTAATATAATTTCTATTGTCACTAATATAATGCTATTGTCACTAATATAATTTCTATTGTCACTAATATGATTTCTATTGTCACTAATATAATTTCTACTGTCACTAATATAACTTCTATTGTCACTAATATAATTTCTATTGTCAATAATATAATTTTTATTGTCACTACTATAATTTCTATTGTCACTACTATAATTTCTATTGCCACTACTATAATTTCTATTGTCACTAATATAATTTCTATTGTCACTAATATATCTTCTAATGTCACTAATATAATTTCCATTGTCACTAATATAATTTCTATTGTCCTAAAAGTTTAACCTTTGGAAAGACAAAGTCGACTTATGTTTCCATCCACAAGAAAAATATTTGTCTCTTAAATTGTCATTGCCAGAATAAATGTAACTGTTGCCAATAGGACTAGCCACTTTTTCAGTAAGGTTATTTCTATTTAACCACAAAAACTGGTCAACTTTTGTCACCTACCACAAAATAAACTTAATATTTAGTTTCCTTTATGACAAAATTGACGACTATTATTTTGGGTTCTGTCTTTGTGTGCATCCATGCAAGTCTGTTGGCATCCAAAACCATTTCCTTGGCATGCTTTGATTCATCACATTCAAAATTAACACAAAAACCATGTATGATGACTTATACATGAACTTTGATTATTGTTACGATTTGATCAAATATGGCTGACCAACAGCCATTTTTGTCCTCATATTTTTTAAGAAGCAGAGTTTGAAATTATAAATCTTATAAAATATTAGGTTTCAATTATAATAGCTCACAAGTGCCACAACTTGGCCCTAGTTTCTCAAAATTTAAAGAGATTCAACTAAATGTTGCCAAAAAAAACAAGGTAGCCAATAGAAAATTATGTCTATAATTAAGAATTATGGAAAAATACACAATCAAATAGAGAGCAATTATCAGAGTAGTGTATATAATACAAATACAATGTAGTTTCTCAAAATGCCAGCTATAGTTGAAGTAGCACACAGATGCATACAACACCTGGACAGTGGCCAACAAATACCGGGTATTCAGAATTCAGGCATTACAGCTGCCTGAGAATTATCCAGACAGTCAGTTAGCAAAATGACTTGCAGCTTTGCAAAACACTTTGGTCTTTGCCAATCTAGACTTATTGGCGCCACTTGAGTGACAGGCACGTGGTTTGGTATTACTATTTTATAGGGGTTGTCGGCATGGTGAATTGCAAGTATTATGTAGCGTGCGTTTACAGCAACCATTCTTTATTTTTTATAATTATATTGTAATTATTTTCTGTAATTTTGAAAATCACAAGTTGGGTGTTGTCTTTAATCTGTCGAAAAATGTCAACCCCTCGCTCATTTTAGTCAGTTGTACCTGTTACAAAAATGGACTAGACATAATAACGGTCGACAAAGTCCAGCAAACCGTTATAATAGAGTTTTCCACCTGTGTATCCATGATGTACTCTCCCATCTTGGTATAAAATCTGAATTTGGTACATAATGCACCAGTAATGTAAAAACAACTTTTAGTTTGGCCCAAAACTGTTGCGAAACTGCAGCACGTTCCGCTAAGGAAGTTTGAGCCTTCTCGCCAACGACGACTTCATTAATACCTGGGGTTACTCAACACTCGGGAGTTGTTTTGTAAATTGCGCTATGTCAGGTGGACTCAGATGGTTATAACACTTTGAATGCATATACAACATATAACCTGTTAATATATGGTAACCAACGCGTGTCGTTTTGAAAACAGCATTTTACCCGCATCTTGCAAGATAATGGAATGATTCCAATTGTGGGCGTACCAATACAACGGCGACATCAAGTCTAGATTGGAAAAGACCAAAGTGTTTTGCAAAGTTCCAAGATATATTGCTAACTGACTGTCCGAATAATTCTCAGAACGGGTGTAATTAAAGATGGTGTTAACAATTTCCATACATAGCCAGAGTCAGTCAGGCAGGCAGACATACAATAACACACAGGAACAAAAATTATCAGAATCAACTTACCTGTCCTCTTTTGATAATTTCAGCTTTGACGGGCTGTCTTCGTTCAACATCCACAGGATACGAAACCTTCTGATTGGGTAATCTGATTTCTGGATAAACATTTTCTAAATACCACTTAAATGACTGGCACTGTAACCTTTCACGCAACGCTAACCGGCTACTTATATCCCCATAGTCTTTATTTCTGTTGTCTTTTTTAAGTTCAAAATAATGTTCCTGGGGGTTTTGAAAAAAAAAATTCATAATTTCATCTTCTGATGATGAAACCTGGTCTTGAAACAAATCAGTTTTAAGGAAGTATTAGACCTTTGCATAACAAAAAGACAAAAAACTTGTTTTAAGACAATCGCATTGTAGTCTTGTTTTCAGCTGAATTGTTTAATTCATCCATAAAAGCAGTATACACGGCAACACTTACAGTAGTTTTTGTAATTCAGTGTAGCGTGCAAAGTAGCAATAGGCATTGTGTTTGATGTGTGCATACCTTGTACTCATCCATCCAGACATGTGCAACACGTAATGAATTTTTAGACATTGTATCTTCACCATTAGGTGAACCATAAGGTCGACGTTTTCTAAAAACATGCCCCACTCGGGAGCATGGAATAATTTCCAAAGTACCACCACACTGCCATATCTAGATCAATCAAAAAAGAAACAGAGATTTGACAACATATCAATTGAAAAGACATACTTACATTGGTATTATTACTGGTACTTATTTATTACTGCATTTTGAGAGAAACCAGGAAACGACATCAATTATGATTACCGGGGGTATATGTGCATCATCATTTGTTTAGCACCAGTTAATACCAATTGATCAAATTTTTTTCAGCAATACACACCCTGAAATTTCTGAAAATGTCTAGATATTATGAAAGCTTTTTTATTTATATATAATCCCGTATTTTCTTTTAGGTTTACACAGGGGATTATAGTGCCAGAGTTTTGTAATTTAGCTGTAGGCGAGGACTGATGCTACACTGGTGGTAATCATGAGTACCTACGTACACTGCGATACACAAAATGCAATTTGCTAATATATTATCATGTAATAACCTTTCAATGAACTTTAATATAAAAATTTATTAATTATGATTGTTTTTTTGTTTTTAATAAAATAAAATATACTATAAATATACCCAATTGGCAAAGCTTGAAAATCCCATTTTTATGAGGCCCTACAATAGGTCTTAACCCTTGACAAGTTTCTCACATTTTTTGCTTGGATCCATAGATCCATGACTCAGCAAGGGTCACTGTACTGGTATTTAATCCAACTCGCTAGGATTTTTTTTAAATTTCAACTCATTGTCTGTGTATTTTTGATCTGTTCTGTATTACATTATGCATGTGATAAATTAGCTTAGCAGATTACACAAGTATGTCATTAAGATGAGTGAAACAGATCAAAATCTACTGTTGCGCATCAACCTCTGGTCATTAAGCATAAGTACAAAGAAGCATTCAAGCATTTCATCTCCCAACAGGTTGTACTATACATGACCCAAAACGAGAGTTCAAAGATCCAAGGAGCAAGACATTGAGAACTTAATTTAAATGGAAAAAGAAAGATCAAGCGTACACATAGCAACAAGATAAATTCTCAATGGCAGTGAAAAAATAAAACACATAACTTACTCTGAAAGAAATTTCCAAGTTTTCTCCACCCCATATATCCATACCATCATCATATTCACCCAGTTCATGAAAATACTTTCTATCCATAGCAAACAAACCCCCAGCCATGGTAGGTGACCTACAACAGTTAAAAAGCAGTATGATTAATAATAATCAGAGATCAGATGAGTTCACATGGATGGTGTAATTGGTATTGTATATCTTCACATAGATAGTGTAATTAGTATTGTATATCTTCACATAGATAGTGTAATTAGTATTGTGAATCTTCACATAGATAGTGTAATTAGTATTGTGAATCTTCACATAGATAGTGTAATTAGTATTGTGAATCTTCACATAGATAGTGTAATTAGTATTGTGAATCTTCACATAGATAGTGTAGTTAGTATTGTGAATCTTCACATAGATAGTGTAATTAGTATTGTGAATCTTCACATAGATAGTGTAATTAGTATTGTGAATCTTCACATAGATAGTGTAATTAGTATTGTGAATCTTCACATAGATAGTGTAATTAGTATTGTGAATCTTCACATAGATAGTGTAATTAGTATTGTGAATCTTCATATAGATAGTGTAATTAGTATTGTATATCTTCACATAGATAGTGTAATTAGTATTGTGAATCTTCACATAGATAGTGTAGTTAGTATTGTGAATCTTCACATAGATAGTGTAATTAGTATTGTGAATCTTCACATAGATAGTGTAATTAGTATTGTGAATCTTCACATAGATAGTGTAATTAGTATTGTGAATCTTCACATAGATAGTGTAATTAGTATTGTATATCTTCACATAGTGTAATTAGTATTGTGAATCTTCACATAGATAGTGTAATTAGTATTGTGAATCTTCACATAGATAGTGTAGTTAGTATTGTGAATCTCCACATGGATGGTGTAATTAGTATTGTGAATCTTCACATGGATGGTGTAATTAGTATTGTATATTTTCACATGGATAGTTTAATTAGTATTGTATATCTTCACATGGATGGTGTAATTGGTATTGTATATCTTCACATAGATAGTGTAATTAGTATTGTATATCTTCACATAGATAGTGTAATAGTATTGTGAATCTTCACATAGATAGTGTAATTAGTATTGTGAATCTTCACATGGATGGTGTAATTAGTATTGTATATTTTCACATGGATGATGTAATAAGTATTGTATATTTTCACATGAATGATGTAATTAGTATTGTATATTTTCACATGGATGGTGTAATTAGTATTGTATATCTTCACATGGATGGTGTAATTAGTATTGTATATCTTCACATGGATGGTGTAATTAGTATTGTATATATTCACATGGATGGTGTAATTACTAGTATTGGATATTTTCACATGGATGGTGTAATTACTAGTATTGGATATTTTCACATGGATGGTGTAATTAGTATTGTATATTTTCACGTGGATGGTGTAATTAGTATTGTATATTTTCACATGGATGATGTAATAAGTATTGTATATTTTCACATGGATGGTGTAATTAGTATTGTATCTTTTCACATGGATGATGTAATTAGTATTGTATATCTTCACATGGATGGTGTAATTAGTATTGTATATTTTCACATGGATGGTGTAATTACTAGTATTGGATATTTTCACATGGATGGTGTAATTACTAGTATTGTATATTTTCACATGGATGGTGTAATTAGTATTGTATATTTTCACATGAATGATGTAATTAGTATTGTATATCTTCACATGGATGGTGTAATTAGTATTGTATATCTTCAAATGGATGATGTAATTAGTATTGTATATTTTCACATGAATGGTGTAATTACTAGTATTGTATATTTTCACATGGGTGGTGTAATTAGTATTGTATATATTCACAAGGATGGTGTAATTAGTATTGTATATTTTCACATGAATGATGTAATTAGTATTGTATATCTTCACATGGATGGTGTAATTAGTATTGTATATCTTCACATGGATGATGTAATTAGTATTGTATATTTTCACATGGATGGTGTAATTACTAGTATTGGATATTTTCACATGGATGGTGTAATTACTAGTATTGTATATTTTCACATGGATAGTGTAATTAGTATTGTATATCTTCACATGGATAGTATTGTATATCTTTACATGGATAGTGTAATTAGTATTGTATATCTTTACATAGATGGTGTAATTAGTATTGTATATTTTCACATGGATGTGTAATTAGTATTGTATATACATTGTATTCACATGGGTGGTGTAATTAGTATTGTATATCTTTACATAGATGGTGTAATTAGTATTGTATATTTTCACATGGATGTGTAATTAGTATTGTATATACATTGTATTCACATGGGTGGTGTAATTAGTCATCTTCGCATGGGTGATGTAATTAGTAATTTTCGCATGGGTGATGTAATTAGTAATCTTCGCATGGGTGGTGTAATTAGTAATCTTCGCATGGGTGGTGTAATTCGTAATCTTCGCATGGGTGATGTAATTAGTAATCTTCGCATGGGTGGTGTAATTAGTAATCTTCGCATGGGTGATGTAATTAGTAATCTTCGCATGGGTGGTGTAATTAGTAATCTTCGCATGGATGGTGTAATTAGTAATCTTCGCATGGGTGATGTAATTAGTAATCTTCGCATGGGTGATGTAATTAGTAATCTTCGCATGTGTGATGTAATTAGTAATCTTTGCATAGGTGATGTAATTAGTAATCTTCACATGGGTGATGTAATAAGTATTGTATATTTTCACATGAATGATGTAATTAGTATTGTATATCTTCACATGGATGGTGTAATTAGTATTGTATATCTTCAAATGGATGATGTAATTAGTATTGTATATTTTCACATGAATGGTGTAATTACTAGTATTGTATATTTTCACATGGATGGTGTAATTACTAGTATTGTATATTTTCACATGGATAGTGTAATTAGTAATGTATATATTCACATGGATGGTGTAATTAGTACCGGTATTGTATATTTTCACATGAATGATGTAATTAGTATTGTATATCTTCACATGGATGGTGTAATTAGTATTGTATATCTTCACATGGATGATGTAATTAGTATTGGATATTTTCACATGGATGGTGTAATTACTAGTATTGGATATTTTCACATGGATGGTGTAATTACTAGTATTGTATATTTTCACATGGATGGTGTAATTAGTATTGTATATCTTCACATGGATAGTGTAAATAGTATTGTATATCTTTACATGGATAGTGTAATTAGTATTGTATATCTTTACATAGATGGTGTAATTAGTATTGTATATTTTCACATGGATGTGTAATTAGTATTGTATATACATTGTATTCACATGGGTGGTGTAATTAGTATTGTATATTTTCACATGGATGTGTAATTAGTATTGTATATACATTGTATTCACAAGGGTGGTGTAATTAGTAATCTTCGCATGGGTGATGTAATTAGTAATCTTCGCATGGGTGATGTAATTAGTAATCTTTGCATGGGTGGTGTAATTAATAATCTTCACATGGGTGATGTAATTAGTAATCTTCGCATGGGTGGTGTAATTAGTAATCTTCGCATGGATGGTGTAATTAGTAATCTTCGCATGGGTGATGTAATTAGTAATCTTCGCATGGGTGATGTAATTAGTAATCTTCGCATGGGTGATGTAATTAGTAATCTTTGCATGGGTGGTGTAATTAATAATCTTCACATGGGTGATGTAATTAGTAATCTTCGCATGGGTGGTGTAATTAGTAATCTTCGCATGGATGGTGTAATTAGTAATCTTCGCATGGGTGATGTAATTAGTAATCTTCGCATGGGTGATGTAATTAGTAATCTTCGCATGGGTGATGTAATTAGTAATCTTTGCATGGGTGGTGTAATTAGTAATCTTCGCATGGGTGGTGTAATTAGTAATCTTTGCATGGGTGGTGTAATTAGTACTTTGTATATTTACATGGTTAATTTAGTATCACATATAATCAGAATTGTATATTCACATGGATGGTGTATTTAGAAATGTATGTATGTGTGATGATTTGAGGCTATGACATAAGTTTAGTTATTTGCATAATGATATTGATACATTGTATGGAACATCTTGTGACTACTTAGGCTCAGTTCCAGGCATAGCAGTTGAGTAATAAACATCTTAGTTACAAGTGCGTTATTCTCCTCCCAGATTTGGTGACCAATACTCACTTGGTTCACTCTACCTTGGGCAGTCAGTTCTCAGTTTACAGTATGATATTTTAGAAATATACATGTTCACAAAGTGCGAAGTGTTAAATGAAACTGACAAGAATGCAATACAAGCCAATTATATTTTGAATGAAAACAGACAGCATAGGTAGTAAGAGAACTCAAGGCATACGCACCTTACTGGTTTGATATAATCTTCTTTGCCTTTAAACTGACTGCTTGGAATGGTATCCCATTTAAAATGTAGTCCCCAGTTAAAACCACCGCGAACCAGCGGTGACTGTTGATACTCAAATGTATCAGCATTTATAATATCAATAATGGGACACACTACGGTGTGTGGATCAAATTTGATACGCTCTAATAAGGGCTCTAACCACTGTGTGCTAACCTGAAAGAGAACATGATTTCAGAGGTGCATTTAATTTTTGATGTGTAAAATAAGAGGGATCTTACAAAAGACACTGACTCCCTGCCTAAAGAGCCACAGTAATCTGTATCACTAACTTATGAAATTGTTCTCCAGTAAATTTAATGCATAATGCAACATAACAAAATGTCATTATGCTTAAACAAAGCATCCATATATTTGTTTCCATGAAATTTTTTTGAGTAAAGTAATTTTCATGAGTAATTTATTTTCACAGATTCAGCACAAGCTACATGCAGACCAGTGGGGAAAAAAAATGTCCATACCATCTTTTAGCATACATGATTTTTGGACACTTTTTCTGCATAGTAATTTTAACCTTTTCACCACCAGACTTCCTCACCCAAATTATTCTGCACTTTTTTGTTTATATTCTTCAATATTTCTGGAAATGAACCCTAATTTTGGAGCCAACAGACAAAATTTGTGTCAATTTTCAGTTTTTACTTAAAAAAATTGGCTATTTTTGTCCCAATCTTCTGAAGTAACGTGCAGACTATATATACAGGACTATTTTGTGATTTGTGATAAAAAGAGGGAACTGGCGGTGATCACCAATCACACAAAATTGTGTGATTCATCAGTGCAGCAAAAATTGTAAAAATAATTTCTAAATGAAGAATAAAGTATTTTACTAAGTGATTTGAAATGATAAATGAAGATTAGTGCTAGAACATGCAAAGTTCAATAAAATGAAATTGTGATACACCAAGGCTTATTCAGAACAAGAAAATATGTATACGTACCTCACAATGGCTGTCAAGAAACATCACTACATCACCAGTAGCTGCAGCAGCCCCTATCATACGAGCTCTAATCAAACCTTCTCTTTTTTTGTTGTGAATAATTTTTACAATTTGAAATAAATTAGTTTTTATAAAATCATCTAAATAATCTTTTAAATATGCTGAAAAGAAAAAAAAAACAGAAAAAAGAAAGTTATTTTTATTCTATATTTCATTATTTATTAAACATGTATAAAATATTTTACTTGGTGAGACAAGTTTTTAAAAATTTATAAATTTGATATCTAATATTTGTCATAAACTTGTGTATAAATTGTGTAAAGATAGATTTCCAGAATTTTGATGATTTTTTTGGTTTTAAAAAAGATGCAATTTGGCTATTTTGAATTGCATCATAAAATATGTGCGACTTGATTTATGAAATATGTGTGAAGTTTGAAAATTATTGATCAAGGCATGTCAGAGTTTTGGACTCTGGAACAACATTTATCAAAAAAATGAACACCAGTCAGCTTTTTTAAATCTAATCTATGATTTGATCCATCATGAAAACCTCATATTAACACATTAAGTAGTGAATAATGATGTACACTGCTGACACCTTTAACATATGAATCTCTTGAAACTTTGCTAAGTTAGTAGAATTTGAAAGCCTGTAGAAAAAAAAGTGGTACCCAAATTACATTGTGTACCTAGTTTTTGAATTATGAACTTAATTTTACATGTATGTATTTTGACCAACTTTCAATTCATCACTGGATTAGAATTCAACACTATGTGTAAAGCAAAAACTCACTTTCCATGGAAACAAGTTTAGGTACCTTAGGTAAGTTTAGGTTGTTCTTTGTCATGTATTTGATGACATTTTCACTAACTTATTATCATTATTTTGTAATGCTTTTAAGTTATATAGCCACATCCATCTTCAGAAATAGTTTTCAAAATATGTGCCCAACAGCTTGGTCAGACAAAACACCACAACTTTTTTCCAGCCCCTGACCATTTCCACGTGAAACGCAAGGGTTCAAAGTACATTATGCCAACTACATGTACAACAAAGTGCTTTGATTGATATGAAAAAAAAAAGAAGCCAAGGCCACTTGATACATTGTGCCAACTAATCCAATATGATGCCTCTTTGATGCACATACATTTTTTGTGACGCAACTACTTATGATCACCACAACTGAATCCCTCACGCCGACCCCCGTAATGTCATTGAAACAACAGACAATTACACATTGAAAAAGTTAAAATATATATTTTACTTTAGGTAATGAAATTTGCAAGTTGGTGAAAGAAAGGCCCTGGGCTTTATCACTTCGGCATTTATTGAGGATTTTGACACACTCAACCAGTCAAAAGAATAGACTCTCCAAAACAAAGCCATGAAAGCAAAGCCAATATTTGCATATACTTACTTGATGAGCTGTAGTCATCAACTAAAATAATTTCATGTAATAAATTAGCAGGTGATCTGTCAATAACACTATATACAGTACGTAGTAAAGTTGACCAGGCTTCATTAAAAAAACATATTACCACACTGGTACTTGGTAAATTATTTGAGTATACTTGATAGGCACATCTAAACAAAATAAAACAAAGTGTTATGTATTATATAAATCATAGTAATGTGATGGTTACGACGTATAAACACGAGTGTAAAACAAAACGTTTTTATTTCTGTGGTTTGATCTTTTCGCCAGCTAAATACTAATGCATGTAGAACCTATACTATATCACAACATACTGTAAAATGACTAATTTTCACTGGGTTTGAATTTCACTGTATTCAGGCATATTCAGTGGGTTTTAAATTCATGGTTTTAGATAATGTGTTGTATGCTAAATTTTACATATTCACTGGGTTTTAATTAGCATTTTCCAGTCAGTGAAATAAGCAAAATTAAACCCCGGTGAATAATTAACCCTTTACGGTAACCAGATTTTGGTAAACAAATAACCATGGTAATTCTAAATTGTTCATTGACCAATCCAAGATAGAAGAAGTACAGGAATTACAATTACGCTAGCAAGTTTGTAAATTGGCTGCCCCAATACTTCTGAGCTGTAATTATCTTGGTCTGAAATCATAGATACTATCTAAAACTTTGCTCATTTTGTCTATCACTAGAAAGTGTCTGTCATTTAAGTGGTAAAATCAATACGAGAACAATGTCAAAGCATTACATATAATATAAGTTGGTGACAATGCCAGCAGAAACATAGTTACCAACATCAGGTAAATAACAATAAAATTTGTTCACAGGAGACAATACAAATGATGAATGACTTACAATCCATTCCTGGTGTCTGGTAATCCTCTATGAAAACCGATTCTGTCACTGATTAACTGATTGAAAGCGTGTTGTTGGTATCCTTCATCACGTAGAATCTGGTCTTCAGTGTTTTTCACAATACCCAGTTCTGGATTTAATGCTAGGTTTTTTCGAATTGTATTGTCTTCCTTCTTTTCTTCCTTAACAATGTCTGGCTGTCTGTTATTCCGCACAACCTCATTGGCCCAGTTATTTAGACTATTTTTTCGAACAGTATCGTCTGGTTCGTATTTATCGCGTACAAAAGGTCTGTTATTGTCTTTGTCATAGTCTTGCCGCGACGGATACCGTGGAATGAATTTTTTATAACTGCGTTCAGTTTCAAATGAGCGTGCTTCACTTGGGATGTTATCGTTAATGTCAATTTCATTGAAATACAGGTATATTATGATAGCCCATGTGATTGTAGATAAGACACAACCATAACAAAAATAACGCAGTGTATGGCTACCCATTGTATCTCACATTGTGACAATTGTAGTCTTAGCTTCATAACATCTATAATCTGAAAGAGAAACAAAAAAATAGATTACATACATGTAAGCAACAAGTTGTGAGTAACTCACGAAGTGTGATAGTCATACCAAGTTGGACTGAGATCACAAAATAAGCCTGTACATCACAAAATAAGCTGATATAAATCTACTGTTTGTCTAAACACAGAAGGTCAGAGATAGTGTCATGAAATGACAAACTAAGATAGCATCAATCAAACTAGTTTTCGAGAAGATGTTGAAAATAGCATTTTTAACAAAAAATGGCAAAAACAGAATTGAAGTTATCACAAAATAAACAAAACTGAAAGTGGTCAATTCAAGATGCAGATGATATACAAAAGCAATCAGTCGTATTCACCAATTAGAAGTCAAGATTAGGATTTTTTAAATAACAATTACATGAATATCTACAGTTATCTTCACAAAATTAAACAAATCTGACAGAGGTCTTCCCCAAAGGTATCTGCATACTAGTTCCAAGGGTTCTTCCAGACAGGGGAGCCAGGGGCCCAGCACCCCGATACACCTTGGGCTTGTGCCATCTTACCGAACCGGGAACAAACAGTGGATTATGATCAGTTACAACAAATATAGAGTGTTACCAATAGTAGCTCTCTCTTAACATTTTTTTCTTCTAGAAAACCCCCTGAGTTCAGTACGTAGCATAACTCAAAAATCATTGCATGCCGGACTAAAGCAACAAACTTTGCAGACGTGATATACTAGTATGGGTTAGATAGAGCATAGGCCTCTTTTCTAAGGTCTATGGATAGAGTGAGTAAGTTGGGTGTACCTGACTTAGGTCACTCAGGTCAAGGTTGTACGATTTTCTGTCATATATCACACAACTTGGTATAGAATATCTTGGTTGTAGCATTATCAGTTATATTGTATTTGGTACATATTGAAACATTAAATGAAATATAGAATAAAATATTTTTATTCTATTTTTCAGATGTAGTTATGAAATATTAGTTGCGTTTTAAGTATAATATAATTCATAAAATATTCTTTAGCTGCAATCACTATTTGAAAGAATATTTCAAAATTACAGCAAAGCACTAAAATAAGAAAATATTAGGTTGAAGTTTAAGGTTGAAGGTTATAGCACATTAAAGTGGCATTGTCATTAAAATTGCTCACACACCACTTATTTTTATTACCTCCTCTATAGAATGAGTTGGTCATAATCTCCTTCAACATTTAGCCAAGAATAATTTCAATTATCATTTCAGCTGAAGCAAACTGTATAAAACTTCAAATCATTAAATACAAAATATTTCATCTTTATTCTGACAAATAATTTTTTTTTTACAATTGTAGATCACAATACTGTATGTTGCATTGTCTTGTAGTTCAGTTGGAAAATCAAATTATTGCTGCTGCCTTTCAAAATGCCAAAAAACTACATGTACATGGTAACTGATACACAAGAAGATTTTATAATTCCTTTTAAAGTAGAAGGCTAGATGCCTATGATCAACATTCTCAAAAATTATGAGTAGGTTTCTATCTTATACACAGGGAGCCCAGGAACTATGATCAACTGTACGCATGTGGGGGGTATCGGATGGTATCTAGTGTAAGAAATAGACAAGGGATGAAGGCTCTAGCCAGCTCACATTTTTTAAACTCGAAAAAACAGTAAAAAAAAATTAAAAAAATCTAAAAAAAATACCAGGTTGAAGAATATTAGTTGCTCGGCACAATTGGAAGAAAGGCCTGTTTTTTTACGAACCAATCACAAGACTGGTTACGAACCAGTTGAGAGAGGCTAACTGAGTCGTAACCAGTCTATGATTGGTTGTTGACACATTTTAAACAGGCCACGCCTCCAACTGTGCTGTGCGTTCTGGCAAACCGTAATAAAAAATTAATCTGCAAAAAAAAATTTGAAAACAAAATTCTATATTTATTAAAACAGAGCAAACATCTTTGATATAGGCAAGCAAAACAATTGCTTACATTAACATCATCCATGAAAAAATAGCCTAGCTTAAAGCTAGGTGATAGAAAACAAAAATTCAGTTTTTTTCATTGACATCTCCCTTCACAGATTTTTTAATGGTTGATCCCTAAACCCCCTGCAGTTCAGTGTAACATATTTTAGTGAAGGTTAGTAGAATTAAAATGCTAACCTTTGACAACCTGACAACCACTCAACATGTACTGGTGATGTAAGGAAGAAAAAAAAATAATACAATAAAATAATGACCAGACAAAAATATGTAAATACATGTAGTATCGGACTTTAAGTAAACTAAACCCCAGCACTCGCATGACAGCTCACTGTATTCAGTGGGAAAAGGCTAATGAAAAACAGGTGTTGTGCAGATTTCATGGCTGGCTAGACAGAGCACAGTGGCATATGTAAAAACAAGGACATACTATATTCACTCTATTATAAATGCATCTCCACTAGAAGGGCACTTAAAACCAAAAATTAGATTTCTTGTATGCCTGAACAATTAAATGAAGCTTTTTTCACACTAGACATGCTTCTGCGTTTTACATAAGCGTTGGCGCTATAAACACGTAATGGAGCAAACTTTATATACAAAAACATGTATGTAGAAAGAAAATTGAGCAGATTTTTTAATTTCTTCTAATTTAAATAGGAATTGCAGCAATGAATTCCCGAAATCATAACTCTTCTTGAACTTGATTATTCTTGATATTTTGCTAAATTGTACCAATTAGGTTTCCGTTAAAGCGCTATATAGTTATGAACTGGATATTACTGGTATGACATATTTACAGTCCTTTTTATAAGACATTTTTTTCAACACACCCCTATACACCACACATGTTACATTTATAAAGTAGCCCCAGAAGCATAATACTGTTAATGAAAGCTGACCTCTGAATACTTCTTAGTAAAATGTATAGAAAATGGTAGTAGTTAATTATAGTCCTTTGTATTTATTCAATATAACCAGATGTTGAGAACTAACTTTTTCTATATATTATAAGTATCAATTCTCGCAGCTTTCACCAATTTTGTACATGTTATTTTTGTTGGCAGGTGGTGGGGTGGCACTGAATTAACTTGCTCATATTTTCACCAATTTAGAAAAGTAAAATAGTAAAGAGTTCATTCTGTGTAAGATATATATATAGCCAACATCCTAAGACAACAGAGAGAATTGTGCCTTCAGCCTATTTTTCACCTACAGCCCAAATACAATCATGATTTTTTTTTCCCTGTTCTTTTCGAGGGGGACGCTGTGGAATGCGACCATATGTACAGGGGCTGAACACACTAATACACTGTTGTAATAGTGTGATTCAGTGCATTTGAGTACAATCTCATGACAGTTATACTGCTATTTGTTTTTAACAAAATACCTACAGCTAAACATGTGTATATGCAAAGTCCCTGCAGGCCACAAAAATGTTACCCCATATGGATAGTATACTGTGTCCATATGTCACCACAGAAGCCATAAAAATGTTACCTACTCCATATACATTGCATAAAGTAATATAAAGAATTATAGTCTTTTTACTTCCCTTAATTACATGAATGAGGCGTATTATTCATCAATGGTTTAATTCCACTTATTTTGCTGACATACATTTAAAAAAAAACTGAATATACAAACTTAAAAAATTATGTACTGTTTCCTTTATAAACTAAAACTCTATGTATCATGATGATGTTTATGCAAAATCGAATCTGCTGAATTTAAACCCAATTTTTTTTTCTCCTTATGTATTGTTTAGTTAGTAATCAGAATGTTTGAAAATAATACCATTGTTTTCACTCAGAGCCATGGATGTTTTTTTATGAAAATTTATAAAACATTTATTTTCGGAAATCATTGTGCCAACTTCTTTAAATTCAAAGAAGTTGTTTTCATTGGTTGAAGAATGCCTTTGGTGAAGTCCATTACCGTGGGTCCTTATTTCTTCAATAACTGAATTGAGATTGGCTTATTTATACTAGATCTGTAACCCTTTTGAAAGCCCAAGCCAATTTTGGCACCCAAAAATAATCACATGTTTGCTACAATTGTTGTATCTTAACTGGGTACCTAGCTACCATATCACTGGTAATAATTTTATTTGCACCATCAATTTGATTTTGTGCTAGAAAATAGTAAAACAACAACAAATTTACTTAGTATGTCCTACAGGTGGCATGACTTCCAATTTTAAAAATCTATGTACATATACAAATATAACTTTGCTGTATTTACGTACACAGTCACAGACAGATTATTCACTCCATGATTACAAGTCATTTTAGTAAACACTGAAAAAAAGATGTCAAATGTCAAATTTGTGTGCACTAAATACTAGTATACCTTATTTAAATATTGTCTAACATAACTAATCTATTTATTTACTTCTATTATAAAAGCGTTGGCTCTGAGTGCCAAGAAAGTAAATTTTGCCAGTGTTCACAAATTTTAAACCCACAAAGTGTTTTCATAACTTTTCCGAAATAGGCAATTCTGTCAACATGTATTTGGTCCAAAATTACAAAAAAAAAATACAAAAATACATAAAAACAGGCAAGATGCAGTACCAACATTTTGGTGAGAAAAATGATGACACTCAACGGGTTAAGTAAAGAAGACATTCTATTCCTACTACAGTTTTGAATTGCTCTCTGATTTTTCCACTGTTAACGAACATTAAAAACAAACTTTGTGAAGGAAAAGCTATATACATATACATATAATAATGTAATTTTCAAAAATTTCAGTAAATCTTTTTAAAATTCTACATTTTTTTCTCCAGGCAGATGCATGGGAAAGTGTTAATACCATACCAGACTTATGATTTAACGTTTGTGTACTAAGGTTTTTATGTGGCGGGTTTCAGATAAACACAGCATTAAAAGTCTGTTTGTTCCTGCAACTACACTGTATACATAATATGATGACGCATGTCATAACAAACCGATCATCTTGTCTTCTCGCATTCCAAACATACTACGATAGTACTTTTTGAAACACAAATCCCAAAGCGTTGCAACCGTGTTGACAATCAAAAATAAATACGCTAAAACACAATTAAGCGTTATGGTTTAAATTAGTTCAAATCGCTATTCGAAAAAAATATTCGTTTGACTTCGACCGTCTCACAACTCATACAGTGTTGTTTACAATATCCGGACAGTCATCCGAACCGCGTCATCAACATTTTCACTTCTGTCATGTGGGAAAAAACCGGCCCGGTGCGGTAAAAGTAAACAGAGAGAAAGACGTGAAAGTAATGAAAATGATGCTCAAAAATATAGTCAGCTATGTTTGGGAAGATACAACATGGCCATATTTTATAGATAAAATGACGAAAATAGAATACAACACTAATTAACAGGAAATACGTACCTCGACGTTTTCTCACGATCTACTTGCCGCCATGTTTGAGGTTATTTCTAAATATGCGGGAAGAACCATTCAGCAAAAGGGGTATCTGGTTGACCATGGAGGGACAGGTTACGTGCTTGTCTACAAATGCTATGAACTGTTCTAATAATAACACATCATATACTAAATCAACGAACATAATAACATAGGAATTACTAAACTCAATTTAACAACCGCGACTCGATGTAGATGGAATAAAAATATTTTTCCTTTCAGATCTCACCGCGCATTAAATTGTATCTGCTCCATGCCACACCGACCAACGAGAAACGGTTTCAGCATGACGCCCTGTTCAAGCCCACGTTTGTATAACCATATTTGGGTACTGACGTAACGCTTACGTCACGCGCATCAGGAAAAAAGAGTAGCGTGGCGCGTATCACTTCACTATATTATAAAGTACAATATACACTGAACCACGATATTTCTACTACATAATGTAGTACCATCTGTTTTTGAATTTATCATCAATTCTAAAAAATATATTTCCTATAAAAAGACTTTCAACGAAATAAAAAAAACTGGATGATGCTGCACAACCCCGCCGCTCAACTGATTACATTTGTATTATTATTTCAATTCAATTCAGATAAAAGTTAATTACAAATTCTGGAGTCATACAGGCTGGCTACATCAACAATTTCCGTAGCCCGCTCTGTGGCAAAACCGGTAGCTTCCAGTCTCAAAACCAGTCGTTAGATCATCGATCACAAGGCGATTGCTGGAAAAGAAAAAACGAAAAAGAAAACCCAGCATCCTTCAAAAGAAGTTCACCAAATTATCAAAGGAGTACGGCAACCGAGGTGGCTCACAACATGGCATTTTATAAAATTCATTTATTTTTTGTAATCCTTTTTTAATAACCATCTTTGGTTCTGAAATCGATTTTTGAAACGTACTTTCTTTCTGGGATTTTTTTTTTTTAAAACCAATTGTTTAAAATC